GCGCGAGGAGACGCCATGAGGCGCAGGAGTTTGGCGACCTCCCGTGGGCGGTCGTCGAGGCTGGCATCCGCGCCGTGTGGGCGACGGAGCACCCTCCTTCTCAGCCTGCTTCTCCTCGATCGGTGAACACCGAGGGCGGCGTCAACGTGGGCGTCAACGCCGGAGGTGGCCAAGTCGGCAGCAGTGCGGGAGGCACGTCGAGGCAGCGTGGTGTGATTCACGTCGATGAAGTCGGCGACATTCAGGCGCGAAGGGTGCAGTCGTCGGCGGCTGCAGGCTCCTCGCAGGGCGACGTCGGAGGACGACGAAGCGGTTTGACGCCGACGTCGGCGACCCAGGTGACGGCGGGAGGGATTGCACCGAGCTACGGCTACTTCAAGTTTACGCCGGGCAGGATCTTGGTCACCCCGCCGCTCGTTGGTCGACAGGACATCCTCACCTGGAAGGAAGCCATCGAGCCCCAGTTGGAGATGGCCGGGCTGATCAACTTTGCCCGAGGAACCGTGGCGACGCCAGACGACCCCGACCTGCGTACAGAGTTTTGCGCCGTGCAGCTGTTGACCTTCACGGTCATCTCGCGGTGCTGCTCGCCGGGCGTGCAGATCGCCTTGAAGTGGTGCCGAGAGTACCTCGACGCCGGCCACCGGGCGTGGCACTTCATTGAGTCGACCTACCAAGTCACCGACGACTTGTTCATCTCCCGGCTGGAGGGGCAGCTGACGCATCTGCGTATGGGCGACGAGGAGACGGCTACCGACTACTGCAACCGAGCTCGGCGGATTCTCGCCACCATCAGGATGGCCGGCGCGCAGTATTCGACGGCGTCGTACGTCACCCACGTCATGCAGGGACTTTCGAGCAGCTACAACCTCCTGAAGCGGCTGTCGATGGCGCCCAGCACGAGGACGACGCTCAACGAGGACAACTTGACCTCGTACATCCTGCAGGACGAGGCGATGCAGGAGGCAGAGCGGTCCCAAGAGCTCTTGACGCAGGCCAACTTCGTCGCCTCGGCAAAGCAAGGAGGTCGACCGGGGCAGCGCGGACAGTCTGGCGGCGGAGGTAGCAGTGGCTGGAAGTCGACCAAGGACAGCGGTCGAGGAGGAGGAAGTCGACGTCGGGAGTGCTGGCTGTGCGGCGACCCCGACCACCTCTCCTTCGAGTGCCCCGACCGCAGTGACTCCGACGACGACGACGCCAAGGGAGGCCGCGGGAGGTCTGGCAGTCGTCGACCACGTCGAGGAGGAAACAAGCCGCGCAAGGAGTTGCAGTCGACCAAGTCGACCTCGGCGAAGGACGCCGACTCCCCTGCTGGCGGCAAGGCGCGGGACGACAAGACGGCGTCGTGCTCGCTGGTCGGCGTCGTGGAGCCGACCGTCTCGCTGGCACCGGAGGCCGGAGAGGACTTTCAGGCGGTGGCGGCAGCTGTGCAGGCGAACCCGGTGGTGGTCCTGCTCGACAGCGGCTGCTCCCACCACCTGATGGGGACGAAGGAAGTCTTCGTCGACCTGCAGCCGAGCGGCTCCATCGAGCACGTGCGCGGCTTCAATGGGGCGCTGCAGGACGTCCAGGGCCGTGGCACCGTCGCCCTGCAAGGGAAGGCCGGGAAGCAGGTGCTCATCCCCGACGTGCTGTACGTCCCGGGTGTGCGGGCCAACCTGCTGTCGTCCGGCCAGCTGAAGGAGCACGGCGTGAAGCTGCAGGAGGACGGCGACGGGATGCTGCTCGTCTCGGCAGCGGGAGAGGTGCTCGGACGGGCGACGTACTCCGAGCGTGTCCTCTGCACCGACCTGCGTCCCTGCTCAACGAGGTCGACGTCAACCACGCCGGAGGTTGTGGCCCTGCGGGCAATCGTCTCGAAGACGAAGTCGACGCCGGACCGGATGCATGCGAGGCTTGCGCACGTCGGCATGGACACCGTACGGAGCTCGGCGAAGAACGAGGTCGCCATTGGGCTGGACCTCAAGTCGGCGACGGGCGCCGACTCACCATGTGTCTCGTGCGTCGGCGGGAAGCTGGCGCGGCACACCTTCCCCGACCAAGGCTCCGACGCCGACGACGTGCTGGCCGTCGTGCACATCGACCTGTGCAGGCCGTTCCGCGTGGCTGCGAAGGACGGCAACTTGTACTTCCTGCTGCTGAAGGACCGCAAGACCCGCTTCGTGTGGGTGAGGCCGGTGGCCAAGAAGTCGGATGTGCTGCTGGAGTTCCAAAAATGGCTGGTGTTGGTGGAGAGGCAGACGAAGAAGTCGGTGCTGATGCTACGCTCGGACCGGGGAGGGGAGTTCCTCGGGAAGAAGTTTACCGACTTCGTGGACGGAAAGGGGATCGTCCACGACCTTACCTGCCCGTACACCCCGCAGCAGAATGGCATGGCGGAGAGGGAGATGCGGACGATGGTGGAGTCGGTGCGGACGATGCTGCTGCACATGGGCGTGCAGCACCACTGGTGGCACCTCGCTCTGCGGCAGGCCGTCTGGATCCGCAACTGCCTTGAGAGGTCGACGCTGCCGCCGGGGACGACGCCGTACCAGCTGCTGGTCGGCCAGAAGCCCGACTTGTCGATGGCGAGGGTGTGGGGCTGCATGGCGCAGTTCCTTGTCCCCGAGCAGCAGCGTGGTGGGAAGTTGAAGCCGAAGGCCAGGTGGGGCCTTCACCTTGGCGTGTCGGCGGAGAGGAAGGGCTGGGAGCTCCTCGACATCGACGCCAACCGGGTGGTCACCACGTCGGACGTGGTCTTCTACGAGGAGATGTCGCTGGCCGAGTGGAAGTCGGAGCACGGGTCGGTGTCCGGCCGAACGCCGTCCACCCCGCCAACCGACACCTCGTCGGCAACGTTGCCTCTGCTCGCCTTTCATAGTTCATCCATTCTCGTTTCTTCTCATCCCCCCCATCCCGTCGCCCGTCGAGGCGCCCCGGGGGCCGCGCGTCCCCCCTTCACGTCGTCTCGTCGCGGCGTCACGGGGGCCGCGCGTCCCCCCCATCCCGTCGCCCGTCGAGGCGCCCCGGGGGCCGCGCGTCCCCCCCACCGTTCGCGTCATCCCATCACGGAGCCCTCGGGAGCCGCGCGCGGCCCCCGCTGCCCCGTCGCGCCGCCCTGGGGAGCCGCGCGCGACCCCCCGCTGCCCCGTCGCGGCGCCCTGAGGAGCCGCGCGCGGCCCCCCGCTGCCCCGTCGTGACGCCCTGGGAGCCGCCCGCCGTCCCCCGCGCCGTCCCCCGCGCTCCTGCCCCGTGCCACCCGTTTTAGGGTTTGGGGGTGGCGAGCGTGGGGGTGGCGGCTATGGGGGTGGCGGTTGTGTGAACCGTCCCCTACTCCTCCTCCTCCTCCGTCTCCCACTGCTGCAGCTGCCGCTGAGGGGGGTGGGTGTGTGGGAGACGAAGGAGTGGTGCTAGGGGGGTGACGTGGGAGTGGAGCTAGGGGTGCAGCAAGGGGTGTGTGAAAGGGGGATGGGACAGTTGGGGGAGGTTGAGCGGAGGCTGCCGTCTTGTCGTCCGCAACACCTGTAGTCCGGGGCGCTGTCCTGGTAGCCTAGAGAGCCTGCTGCGCCTGTCGCCCGTGGGTCCGTTGCTCCTGCCGCTCTTCGTAGCCGCCGAGCCAGTTACTCCAGTAGTCCGGGGCGCTGTCCCGGTAGCAACTGTGCCAGCCGCTCCTGTAGCCCGTGTGTCTGCAGCTTCAGCCGTCGCCTCCCATCTTCTCGCCCCCACAGTCTCTCCTCCTCCTCACTTGCCCTTTGTGAATGCCTCTAGCCTTGCTTGTCCTTGTGAACCTGCTCTATGCCTGCTTGCTGTGCTGATTATACCCCACTTTGACTATGGGGGTGTGTAAGATTATAATGCTCGCCTAGCCTGCAGTGGGGTACTCTATAGGGTTTCCTATTTGTATCCCAACTGTTGCTAGTCCAATCCTCCTTTGCTCATTTCTCTCTTGCCTAGCTAGGTAAACCCTAGCTATGGCTCCTCATTCTCGCTACTGTTCTGACATCGAGGGGGCAGGGGGGAAGGAGACGGGAGGGGAAAAGAAGGGTGGGGGGGGGGGGGGGGTACCTCGATACTTTGTCGGTATCAGATGAAAGCATACTCGATGTCTGAAATGTCAGACAAAATATAACGCGCTGTCTTATTTTTAAGACGAAATAAAATCCTCTGTCTTATGGTTCATATGAAATTAAATTGCTCGTCTTGAAAATCATATGAAACGAAAAAAGTAGGTATGTTTTTCAGACCATCAGACCGATTTGGTCTGATAACCAGAGCCCTGACTGGCAACCGCAGGACTTGCATGGCAGTTGCTGCAGCACAATATCGACTGCCATGTGATGCATATGACATCACGAAACACACTCGGCGCGCAAATAGGCACCACTTGGCTACGTGTGGCCCTAAACCCGGGTGTGTTGGCGCAACAGGGGCTCTAAGGACCAATTGGACGAGCAAGCATGTGTTGAGATAAGAACTTAGTAGATTAGGAGCTTGGAGGGAGAGTAGCATAGCGAGATGGATATCAAGGGAGTTTAGGTTGGCCAAAGAGAGCTTTTACTATGGAATGGATACAAGATACAGGAATGGGCAAAAGGGAGGGTACACCACCAGCAGTTGATGCTAATAACTAAACTAGTACACTAGCTAGCTGTAGGCAGTTATAAGATATGCAATATAATTCAACAGCGTGCGGCCTGCCGCCAAAGTTTGACGGTCGTGCGCCTGTGGCCGATAGAGACAAGTGTGGCAGTGGACCCGTGGTGATTTCTGTCTGCACGCCAGGGCCTCAGATTCGTTTTTAGCTTGGCTGATACGTCAGCCTTAGCAGGCTACGCTAGGCTGATCAATCAGAGTTGGTTAAAAAAAAAAAACTGAAATTTCAGACAAGTCGCCAAAAAAAACGCGGACTAATCAGCCTCACTAAAAAACGCAGGCTGAACTATGTTTCAGCACTTTGTTCATTAAATTTAGCAGGCGGCAGGCCTAACAGGGAAACACTACACTACACTACATACATGACATTAGCTGCTCATTTCATCATCTTCATCACTAGAACTACCTCCTGCATCTCCTACTGGCTCCTCATCATCTACATCTACTGGCTCGTCATGCTTGCCCTTCTTGTTGTCGCCTGGGGTTGGGGTGCAGATGGGAGCATTGCTGAAAGGCTTGCGCTTTTTGTAACTCCGCCAGATCTCAACTACCTCATCGTAGTTGGGCTCGTACTGCATGAGGGACAGGCACATGAGGTCCCCCAGCCTTGCGTCCTTGATCCCCCCTCGCCGCCATGTCTTACTCACGTTTTGCCGGGTGAATCCCCTTTCACACTCCACTGTGCTGAGGGGAATCACAGCCACCGCCACCCAGAGCTGCACCAGATTGGGGTAGCTTTCCCGCCAGCTTGGCGTCTTGAGGATCGCCGTTAGTCCACTGTGGAAGCCCCTCTCTTCCTTGGGGGCACGTGCAAGGACTGAACAAAAGAGGCGAAGCTTCTTGCCTGCCAGCCTCTTGTCGATGCCTTGTGGAAGGGAGGGAGGGAGGGTGAAGAAGAGGCAAATGAGCAAACAGTACAAAAGATTCTCAAGCATAGGGATGAAATCATGACTTCACAAATTAGCCATAACGAACCTGGCAAGATCTCCTCACGGTCCTGAGCCTTGAACATCGTCACCAGCGAGTGAAGCCACTCCTGGCAACGAGCATTCCGCTCAGACTTGCTTTGTGGCCATGCATCAGGTGTGAACAGGCGGACTCCAGAGAGCGAGTCTAGATCACCGAGCCTTCCCTCCAGGTTCGCCATGATCCTCTCTGCGAACTCGGTGCACAACTGGATGCAGCCGTCGTGGTCCTCCGGGCCGCTGTACGAGTCCACGGGCTCGTCGTGAAGGGTGAACGTGAAAGAAGATGGTCGGCCGTCGCTGTCGACACCTTCCACCTTCACTTCGCGGCTACACCCCGGGCCATGGCGCTCCAGGAAAGGTGACAGCCACTGGCTGCTGCCACCACCGAAGTCATCGCCGCAGTCCACGTAGCGGCTCTCGATGTGACGCGTTGTCCGCTTGATCTGCGCATGCAAAGACACCAGATCGAGCTGGACAGACAAAGGCACACAGTGACAAAGTTAGAATGGTAAATAGGGTGACATGCGTAGTTATAACCGCACCACCTCACCTGTCTCTGCTGGAAAGTCTTGTTCAAGATGTTGAGCTGCTCAAGCACATCAGCCAGGAAGTAAAGGAAGAAGTGAAAACGGTAGGAGCTTGCCAGCGCGTACATCTTGCTGTTAAGCTCCTTCAGCAACACAATCACTGCCGGCAAAACAGCGACAAGGCGACGGACGGCATCCCCCCATGACAGCCACCAAACGGAGTGGATGCCTTGCACTTTAAGGCTTGTCTCAGTGATAACCTCTTGCAGATCCATGAACCGTGCGTGGCGCGGTCCCGACCGACCAAGCAAATCGGCCACAGCCCGGATGAGATCGTCGACCATGTCGAAGACGGGGAGCTCCTCAGCCGCATCCTTCGCTGCAAGTGCCTCCCTGCAAGTGGAACACATCAAAGTCGGGAAATTAGAGACGAGCTAGAACAGGATGGCGTAACGGGCTGAAAACGAAACAGCGGAGCTCACTAACCTGTGAGCGATGCAGTGAACGGAGACAAGGTGCGGGATTTTCTGTCGCAGTCGGACAACCAGGCCGGCCTTAGACCCCATCATCACTCTTGCGCCGTCGGTGCTAATGCCGGAAATCCTCTGCAGATCGACACCGACTGCCTGCAAGTGGGAAAGCAAGATGCTCATAAGAGAAGAAGCGTCCGCCTTTTCCACCGTGATTAGCTGCATGAACTCGGTCACGAGGACATTGTCGCGGATGAACGAGGCGTACAGGATCATGTGCTTCCCCCTGAGCCGATCCGTGCTTTCATCGATGCAGATGCCGATGAAAGGGTTTGTCAGGATGTGCTCCAGCTGAGTTGTCTGTAGCCAGGTAGCAAGGGCCTGCGTGAGCTCACCGGAGCCGTACCTGCCCGCAAGGAAACCGAAGACAGGAGATTAGAAGTAGGTTAAGGTAGGCACATCACAAAACACCAACACAATACAAGGGTGACTAATACTCACGATGTGTAGTAGGTGCCTATCCCTTCTTAGGGAAGCCCTGGACACCCTTGCGCGCGAGGTACTGCACCAGCTTTACCCATGTTCCCATGGGCGCATCGCAGGAACTAACGAAGAGCATGGAGTCGAGCAACGCCATGACTCGGTTCTTCTCAGCATCGACGGCGGCTCGATGTTGGTCGATCCGTGGCTGCTTTGAGGTCGCGTTCAGCAGAGCCTCCTGCTTCTCCATCGCCAGCTTGTGTTTTGTCGTGCCGGCGTGCTTGCGAAACGCCTGCGTCTGCACGTCGGTCGCCCCTCGCCCTGTCCGGCCACATCGTCCCCTGACTCCGGCATGCTTGGTGCCGACACTGCACTTAAAAGCAGGGAAACCGGATTTAGATTTGGTTAGCACAAGCCACGGGAACCTCTCTGACCACTTAGTTTTATACTTCAAAAGAGAGTCTGCATAGACTGCTTCAATAGCCTCCGAAATGTCGATGACCAATGATGGAAGAGGGGATGTGTTGTTCACGACAGGTTGCTCGACGGCGGTGCTGGAAGATGGCTTTGCCCAGCTCAGCGTCGACTGCTTCAGCTTGAAGTTGCGCAGGGCAGAGGACTTCGTTGTACGACTCGACAACCACTGTGTCGGAGACGGCAGCCGGCGCAGCAGGATCACTCCGGATGGAATCCGGGCTTGAAGAAACCGGTGGGTGGTCGTGGTTCACCCTCTCGACTGGAGCAGGCTTTGCAGTAGGAGGCCTGGGAGCGAGGACACCAGGGCCAAGCGAGCGCAGGAGCATATCAAGCCCCGTCTTGGCTTCCTCTAGGCCGTCGGGTTCATCATCGGAGCTATCCATGCCTGCATCATCATCGCAAGCTAGGCCTTCTGCAAGGCCGGCCATGGCTGAAAGGGGAGAGCGTGCCGAGCTCCAACTTTGCTAGCTAGGGTTTGAGAAAACCAGGGCGAGAGGCGGGGATTGACAGTGCAGCTCGCCTGGTGGGTGGGTACGGTGTGGTCATCAAGAGAGAGCCATAACAGAAGGCCCTCTCGTTCTCACCACCCAACTGCAACGCGGCGCGACATGGGGGCACCATGCACGCACTTGGATGCAGGTTCGGGGTGGGTGAGATGGGGTGAGGTGGGTGTCCTTGTCGTGAGTGCGTGCGGTGCGTTGCTGTGCTGCACTGGTGGTGGGTGATTGGCCCATAAGGGATGTGATTGGTTAAACAACCAATCACATCAATTACTGCATTCTGTCGGTGACAACGAAGCAACCGACGCGTCGGGGAAAACTCATTTCCCCTCCGCGTCGGCGCTGTACATGGCAACATTTGCGTGATTGACGGTGGATGTACCCGGACAGCCGAAACTCACGGCTCCAGCACGAATCTGTAATAGCGTGAATTCAGCCTACACTCTCGTTACAAGTCTGATCAATCAGCGAACACTTGTAAAAAAACGCTGGAAAATCAGCCAATACAGTAAAGAAAAACCTGAACAATCAGCCAACACGTTAAAAAAAAAACTGAATTATCAGCCAACACATCAGCCACATGTCTGGGAAATCAGCCTCCAGACACTAATTCAGCCTTTTTTCTCTGACTTCTGAGGCCCTGCTGCACGCGATATGTGGCAGAATCCGCAGTAAAAAAAATGTTGTTATCAGTGTAGTTGGCATCGTATGATCATGTCAGAACACGCTCTTAACTCTTGACTTAGTAACTTAGGGTTTACCTAGGAAGCGTGAGTGTCGAGAGTGAGCATGGCAAGAGAATTGGGCAAAGAGAGGCATTCACTAAGGAATGTTTACAAGATATAGGATAGGGGAGAGGATAGGGTACACCACCAGCAGTTGAACCTAATAACTAACTAATACACTAGCAAGCTGTAGGCAGTTAGGATATGCAATATTATTCAACACACCCCCGTAACTGCCTACGGCTATAGCTAGTGGTGTCTGGCACCAGGTCGCCTGGAGAGAGGTTGCCGTAGCTGGGATAGGCACAGAAACAGCGGTGGCTGACCGGCAGCACCTGTGAACGCCAGAACGGAGGAGGGCGCGGAGAGCGCGGAGGAGGGCTGGGATAGCCGGAGGGCGAAGGATGCTGGTCGCTCGCCATCTACGAGCAAACACAACTGTTGGTGAGGAGGAGGAAGCTGGTGGTGGTGCACAGGAGGAGAGCAGAGGAGAGGCGGCTGGAGGAGAGGAGAGAGGAGGAGATGCGGCTGTAGGAGAGGAGAGTGGAGGAGGAGATGCGGCTGGAGGAGAGGAGAGGAGAGAGGAGGAGATGCGGCTGGAGGAGAAGAGGAGAGGAGAGGAGAGGAGAGGAGAAGAGGAGGAGGAGGAGAGGAGAGGAGAGGAGAGGAGAGGAGAGGAGAGGAGAGGAGGTGGCTGGCGCGGCAGAAGCTCTCCCGCCACCCCCTCATCCCCCTCCCCCCCATGCGCTGGCGCTGGCGGAAGTGCTGGCGCTGGGCGCTGGCGTCGCGCTGGCGCTGGCGACCGCCGTTGGCGCTGGCGCTGGCGCCCGCCGTTGGCGCTGGCGCTGGCGCCCGCCGTTGGCGCTTGCGCTGGCGCCCGCCGTCGCCTCGCTGGCACGCTCGCCACTGGCAGAGCGCGACGGGGCAGGCAAAAGGGGGCAGCGCGACGGGTGCTGCAAAAGCAGCGGATTTCGAGCCAGTGGCGGATTTCGCGCTACTAGCAGTAGCAGCCATGCCAGCAGCACAATAAGTCGCCATGGCAGATCGCGGGTTTGGTGGGCCCATGAAAACGAGGTCCTAGGAGGGACCACTCTCTGATATCATGTCAGAACACGCTCTTAACTCTTGACTTAGTAACTTAGGGTTTACCTAGGAAGCGTGAGTGTCGAGAGTGAGCATGGCAAGAGAATTGGGCAAAGAGAGGCATTCACTAAGGAATGTTTACAACACCACCAGCAGTTGAACCTAATAACTAACTAATACACTAGCAAGCTGTAGGCAGTTAGGATATGCAATATAATTCAACAAATCAGGGTAATCAAATTTGTTATCAGTGTACTTCACAGCTTACCGTATCCTGATTTCACTAGGGTAAAACATTCAATACCCTGATTTGGCAAGGGTAACTGGGAAAAAGCGGCCTACCATCAGGGCAAAAATGGAATTTTACCCTGATAATTTGGGCCCTGACCGTATACTGGGGTAGTGGCACCAGGAAGGATCACTTCTGCTTTGTAAATGGTGTTGTTTTACGTGAAAATTGTAACAATTAAAAACTGCATGGCGTTGCTGCTGGCTGAAACTCCCGCTTCAGATTGAGTGCCTGGTTGGCTCGAATGTTTTTTCGTCACGTGAAATCAAATTATACTGCTTCAACCACACCACACTGAAACGCTTTGCGAGTTTCCAGAACTGATGCTCTACTCTTCTTGCGCACCCCCTTTGCCTTGACAGCAATGGTGGCGAGCTGTTAAGGCAAGCAAGCAAGCAACAGCTGAACATCACCCACGGGCGGTGCAAGGGCCCTCACTCTTCCTTCTTGCCCAGCCTCTTCGCCTCGGCATCGATGGTGGCAAGTCGTTCAGGCAAGCACGGGTGCGAGTGGTGGTATGCGGAGTACCAGGGGTCCGTGTTCATTGCTGATAGGTTCTCCTCCTGTGGGGTATGGAGACACAACACAGAGGGGTACATGGCAGGGAGGCGGAGGAGGTATCAGTGGGTGTGAGTAGCAGGAGGGGCAGTGGTATGCGGAGTACCAGGGGTCCGTGTTCATAGATGATAGGTTCTCCTCCTGTGGGGCATGGAGACACACCACAGAGGGGTACATGGCAGGGAGATGGGGGAGATATCAGTGGGTGTGAGTGGCAGGAGGGGCAGTGGTATGCGGAGTACCAGGGGTCCGTGTTCATTGCTGATAGGTTCTCCTCCTGCGGGGCACAGAGACACAGTCGGACAAAGAAGTGGTAGGGAGGCAGGGGAGTTACGCAAGGGTGTGGGTGGCAGGAGGGGCTGATAGGTGGAGTACCAGGGGTCCGTATTCATTGCTGATAGGTTCTTAACCTGTTGTAACAATGCACATGATAACAGGGGGGTAGGGAAGGGATAGGGTGCTCGTTGCAGCCGGAGTAGAACCAGAAGTGTGTCTTGATGGGGAAGCGACTAAACTTCGCCGGAAACAGACAGACAGACACTTAGGTGAGTACCGATCACTCAAGTGTGTGGTTGCTAAACGGCAGTCTACTTGTCTTACATCACCCATGTGTATGTGGTGATGGTGATGTACTCACCTGCATCTTGATGAGCCCTGATCGCAGCTTCGGTGCATACCCCATCTTCACTGCAAATGCATCCGCCTTCAAAACCCAGTGAACAGGAGAGGGAACAACAAGAGGGGTGAAATGAATGAAAAAATAGTGAGAGATGCACCAGTGGAAGACTGAAAAATACAATGAAATATAATGGCACGAATAGCAAAGCCTCAACAAACGCTGAGCTCGCAGCGAAATTACATGTATGCTACTGAGACAAAGAAATGCAAGGAATGGCCAATGGTTCGGCCGTCGTACAACAGGTGAAAGATCAACAGATGCTGCATGCATGCATGGGAAATGCAAATCACCTGGTACTCGAATGTCCGGCTAATTATGTTGAGGCCAAAGTCAAGCAGGTGAGATACGGGCGTGGACAGGTGCTGGTGTTGGGAGGGGAGGGTGAGTGTGAGAGGGCAAGGTGATTCATGGCATGGCATATGATTCTGGAGTGTGCCTTAGAGTGAGAGAGAGGGCAGCAAGAAAGTGGTGATGGTGATGCTGTTAAGGTGGAAGTCAAGCAGGTGAGGAACGGGGTGCGGACACATGCTGGTCTAGCAATGTGGTAGGACTGGCTGGAGTTTGGGGGCAGGAGGGTGATCTATGGGTAATATGGGCCATGAATTGTAAAATCTGCTAATGGGGTCCCAGCCCAGAGGAAGAGTGCTAATGCCGGACGGGTTTTTCATGCTAACCGAGGAAAAGGTTGGAAAACGAACAGGCGGAGAACACACTTGAAAGAACAGGATGGCAATTGCTGCTGGTTAATCCTCGAAGCCAAGGGTGTCAAGGGAGAGAGACAAAAACACTTGGTGAATGGATTTTTGGACGCATGCACACACACAAATGCCAGATTTCATCCATTTCTCTTACTGAGATTGGTTTATAACTCCCTTTCTCTGTTGCGCAACAAACCATCTAGCATTGCTTCCGTTCCAACCACAAGTAAAAACACCTGAAACAAGAGGATGGCGATGATGACTGGCTCCTCCTTGAAGCCGAATGAGCGAAAGCTGTGAAGAGAAAGTGACAATGATGTTTGCCAAACACATGCAAGTTGTAGGTTGAAACATAAGAACAGACCTGGAACAAGAGGATGGCGATGATGACTGGCTCCTCCTTAAAGCCAAAGGAGCGGAAAATGTCGGGCTGTGATCGCACGAAGATGAACCCCGAGCACTGGATGAGCATCAGGGCCTGGATGAATGCGTAGAGAGGGGTGATGGGAGTTAGGAGGGAAGGGAGCGAAGAGGGTGGGGAGGAAGAGGAAGAAGCGTTAGAAGATGTCGGGCTGCGATCGCATGAAGATGAATCCTGAACACTGGATGAGCATCAGGGCCTGGAGGTGGGGAGGGGTGAAGGGAATTAGGAGGGAAGGGAGCGAAGGGGGTGGGGAGGAAGACGTGGAAGGAAGCATGAGAAGATGTCGGGCTGTGATCGCACAAAGATGAACCCCGAACACTGGATGAGCATGAGGGCCTGGATGGATGCAGGGAGGAGAGGCGAAGGGGTGCGAAGCTGCCTACCTGCAGTTAGCGACGTTGATACCTCTACTGCTAGCAACCGATGACGATGCACAGTTTATGCAAAACGACCGCGAGAATCAGAGAGACAGGTGGGACGAACTCATTCAAGAAATGCCTCCACATGTCTTTAGTGACTGCTTCAGAATCAACAGAACCGTCTTCGATTACTTGGTCTCTGCTTGGATTGCCAAAAACGGAGATCGGCGACGCGTAATACCCATCGAGACGTGTGTGGCTATGACATTGGTGCATTTAGGGACGGCAGCTACTTTCCGACAGCTCGGCTTGCAATTCGGAGTCGTACCTCAGCACGCCAGGCGGATAATACTCGGGTTTGTAGGCTTTTTATACGAGGTGTTGTTACCACTATGGGTTAAATGGCCGACAGCAGAGCAACTTGAAATGATGGCGGAAGAGTTTAGATATGAGGGCGGAATTCCAGGAGTGGCGGGAGCAATGGACGGTACATTCATTAGATGCCGTGGGTTCGAGAGAGACAGGGAAGATTTCAAAAACAGAAAGGGTTTCTACTCGATTATATTGCAGCTCATATGCGATTCAAACGGCATCATATGGGACTGGCTAACAGGATGGCCCGGAAGTGTCAATGACTCCCGGGTGTTCAATGAGTCTCTGGCGCGGAGGAGAATAGAAGCTGGAGATCTCGGCAACCACCTCCTCGTCTCGGACGCAGCCTACGGCTTGACGAACCACACATGCGTCCCGTACCGAGCTACGCCAGGCCAGAGCCTGCCAGATCACGAAGACAAATGGAACACGCAGCAATCCCGTCAGCGCATGATTATTGAACAGGTGAATGGGCGACTGAAGGGTAAGTGGCGAATTTTGGATGACAGGATGGAGTGCGAACCACTGCGCGCGCCGCGCATCATCGGAGCTTGCGTGGCACTCCATAACATAGACCTTACCATAGGGAGCCGCGACAGAATGGGTCCAGAGAGGGTGCGCCACCGTTGGTGGCTCGAGGGCCATGCTGCCGCTCTCACACTTACAGGGCCAGAGGTGGCGGGTTTCACGCCGAGGCATCGGATGAGGAGGTGGACGGCGAGTCTCTACGCCTCCTGGCTTGTCGCTCATCCTGAAACGAACGTGTAACCGCCCAGGTGAGCTTCTCAAACTTGGGCCAGTTTACTTCGTCACGCTCATCGAGGTGAGTTGTAAGTTCACGCATGGCATCGGGTTTATCCTCCTTTTTCTTCTTGTTGTTGGAGCTGCGACCAACCCCTCCTGTGTCTTTCCTCCCGCCCTCCTTGCTTTGGTCGCCCTGGCTGCGCGGGTACTTGTACCACGCGTTGCGGGAACACCCCTCCTGCCCTTCAGAGGACGCACGCGCCCCCCAAGTGAGGCGACGGCCTCTCATAGAGACACCCGGCGTCGCACCGGAGACGCCTGGGACGCCCTGAGGAGCGGGGCTGGCATCTCCTGTCTGCGCGATGGTGTCAGGAGAGAGTGGGGACGGCACGGGGGTACGTGTACGCGGCGGAGTCGGAGTAGGAGGCGCCGGCCTAGCGGGCACAGCCGGAGCAGCAGTGGGCGTGACGTCTGGCGCGATAGGCGCCGGCGTCACCTGTTCGCGCGGAGCTGGGGCTGGTGTAGGGGTCGCAGCGACTGTGGGGACGGTGGCAGGATCTGGTGCCACAGGGAGACCCGAACCTGCCAAAACGGGGGGGACGGTACTCGGACGCTCACCCCAGAGATCTTCACCAAGCTAGAACCACATGGGGAGGTTGCGCGGGCGCCCGGCCCCCGAGCGATTGCCCTCAACTCGCAGACGACGCCACTCCTTCAGACGGGCGAACTTCGCCTTGATTGAGGAGACGTCATGGGGCCAGTTCGGTTGGCGCTCCAGGAGTTCACGCTGGATGAGGGGGTACCAGCTCCTTCCTTGCTGGCCAGTGCGACGGCGAATGTCGGCGTCGAGATCCCATCGGGCCGCGAGAAGTTCGAACTCCTCGTTGACAGACCAGCGGTGATGCGTGCGCGCCGTGGACCGTCGGGCGGTACTGGCAGTAGTACCAGTAACGGCAGCGGACGGCCCAGTTTCCTCGTCCAGCTCCGCAGTTGGCACGCTATCGTCAGCAGCCTCGAGGAAGAGCCTGTAGTCATCATTGTCGTCGTACGGCGCCGTTGGGGATGGGAGGCGGGTTCCCCACCAGTTGGGGTCGTTTGTTGCGTTGGTCGTAGTTGTAGTAGCACTAGGAGTAGGAGTAGTTCCTGCAGCGGGAGTGGCGATAGTAGCAGCAGCAGGAATCGCAGACTCCTATGTCTCGTAATTGTTGCCTGCAACAACTGTCGGGGTAACAGGCTGCGAAGGGTAGGTACCCCCTTCGCTTGGCATCGGTTGGGAGGTGTCCCCAACGCTAGAATTGAACTCCATTGTGGTGGGCAGGTTGGAATTGGATGCACTGTTTGGTTCCTTTGCTTCAATTTCTACTGATTGTGTTAGAATGTGTTGCACAAAATCAGGCACCGCATCTCCCGCCAATGTTTGACCAAGGCGCCAGTTCATGAATGAGTTCACCGAAAAAATGTCAGTTTCAGTTTTTTACGCGAGTTCAGCAAAATTTCGCGCGCCAACCACAAGTCGCCATATTTGATCAGTTCATTGCTGATGAACCGTAACCGTGCAAGTGACGGTTTCCCTCCGTTTTGCGGAAAAAGTTATGTACGGTTATGTTGCGACGGCGACGTCGCAGGGTTACTTGCGAAACACCTGCGAGCAATGGCGAAACGTGCAACCAGTGTTTCGAACGGACCGTCCGAATAACAAACCGTCAAAACCAAAATGGTTACGCACCCTAAGACTGTGTAGGGTTATCGGAGTCGCTTACGTCACTTATGTCATGCTGTGAGGGAGGTATCGCACGAAGCCCGGAACATGGTGACATGGATCAGGCTCGGCCGAAATTGACTAAACCGAGGCTGTCTTGTCGCTCCCTAACCTTTTCCCTAACCTCGCCACCACTCGAGGTTTCCGCCAAGCAAGGCTGTGCTCGTGTTAAAGCAAGGGTGCACATTCCTGGGGGTGGCTTTTGGGTGTAAAGTTAGTGCACACCCTATGGCGCTTACTGATTCGAGGGCGAATTTTGCAGGAGGTGTAAGGCTGGTGCGAGGGATTGAAAACAGGCATGCGAAGCCTACCTTTTTCGGTTGAGTTTTTGGTTGGGGGAGTACACCGCGCAAGGGCGGAAAGGGCGGAAATCAATCGCGGAAGTGAAAAGGCAGCGGGCATGAAATGAGTCGATCAACCAAGCATGTGAAAAACCAGAAAAAACGCACAACGATAAACCGTCGAAACAGCACAACTCAAGAGATGGCGTGGAAGAATGCACTCCCTAAGCGCCACATCGACATAACGAGCACGTAGGAGGCTCGTAAGCCTAATAGTACATGGTAGTCGGTGTCTGCTGCTGTGACTTGTCCTCGCTGGTGCGCGTGACGGCGACAGGTAAACGCGGCGCGTCGTTTTCCTGTCCTCGCGACCTCCTCGTCCTTTCGCCACTTCACATTCTCAACCCCGCATCGCCGTAACGAAACTCTCGCCTCCCCGCCTATCTCGACTCCCGGCTGCTTCGTGACCTCGCCGGGCGACGCCTCGCCAGCATAACGGGGCGACGTCGCCAGATTGTCGCCCGCTCGCCGCCTCGCCACGATTAGGGACCTCATCTTCGCCGACGGGTCGCCGCCCATCCGCCTCTTCACCATCACACAGCCGCCTCGCTACCCAACCTCCTCATCGCCTGCTGAGAGGCGAACCCGCTTCTAACACTCCTCAAGATCTGAAATCGCGCAACCTCCCGCAAAGCCTGAGGCAAGTCCCTCCACGCATGCCAGGGTTGGAAAATGCACCATCATGCCGTCGCCTGCTCCCGCAGATGATCCACACCTTTCTTGGTGAGCTTCCCGAGCTTAGCAGTAGCCATACTACTCTTTTGCCTTCTGTGTCCACAAAACTACATCTACCGCGTGTCTAGCCCCTGCGATGGGCGTATCGTCCCTGAACGCCCCACCTCCCACATCTCTGTCTCGATCTCCGCCTATGCACCTCTGCCATTCGCGTTCAGTTTCCCACGCGCCGCCCCAACCGTCACCCTGCCGGCAAACCCCTCACCCCGCCCTCTCTCCCCTCCCCGCCTTCCCCTCATGTCCCTGTTCGTCCCGCTCCCGCAGTTCGCGTCGCGCCTCTTTCTCGTCCAGGCCGTGCACTACCCCGCGCCGCAGGTGCACTTTCCCGAGTCTCAGGTGTTCCATACACTGCACCAGGCGGTCAAAGCATGTGCATCAGGTGCGAATCCGGGTTCCCGAGGGGGACATTCGCCCCACACGTCCTCCTATCTCTCATCCCGTCCTCCCCTCTCTCACCCCCCTCGAAAGCCCTCTCATCCCCTCCTTCCCAAAACTCATCCCCTCCTCCCATCGCTCCTCCTCTCTTGTTATCTCTCATCCCGTCCACCCCCCCCTCAACCCCTCCCTCCTCCCCTCATCCCCGCCTTCTCTCGCTCCTCCCCTCCGTCCTTCTCTCCTCCCAATGTCCCCGACCTCGCGCCCCCCCTCCTTCTATCATCCCCGCCTCCCCTCGCTCACCCCCTCCGTCCTTCTCTCATCCCGTCCTCCCTTCTATCATCCCCTCGCAGGTCCTCCTCTCATCCCCTCCGTCCTTGTCTCATCCCGTCCTCCCCTCTCTCATCCCCTCCTGCTCCTATCTCATACCTCCTTCCCTCTCTCATCCCCTCCTCCTCTCTCTCATCCCCTCCTCCTCTCTCTCATCCCCTCCTCCCATCGCGAATCCCCTCCTCCCATCGATCCTCCCATCCCGTCCTCCCATAACTCATGCCCTCCCTCCTTCTCTTGTCGAGCGTGGCGACGGGGGAGACACAGCTGGCGCAGGTCCGCCAGCACTGAACTTTGGTTCTCGTTTTTCCCCCAAGCAAAAACAGGGTAACCACGCAAGGCAAGTGATAAACCTTTGGGTCCACCCCCCCCAAAGTGCACCCTTGCTTTAAAGGAGGATTTCGATCACGTCCACTGTCAATTTCGGAGATTCGGTTCACAACAGCCTCCAACCCTAATTTCTGAACCTGTGTGGTGATCTCATTTCCAGAAGTCCACTTCTTCAGGCAATTGATGGAGGTTAATAGTAGCACGGAGTACCGCTTTTTCCGTTCACACTGTCGCCACATTGACGGAATCGCAGCCAGCATCGTCGTCAACCCAATCTACCATGTGCACTCGCTCTATCAATAGCCATCGGTTCCCACTTTTTATCGACGAAGAACCATTATTAGTAATTATTAGTAGGCCCCGCTAACCTTTAGTAGGTACTAATAGTCATTATCATAACTAGCAGCTATAACAAGGAGCTTTCCTCGTGCCCGCTTCCCCAGCCGCTGCTAGGTTGCGGCATTTCACACTCGAGTCCGTCTTCCGACATAACTTTCATCGCTCTTCTGCGCGCTCGGCGCGCAGCTCCCACCGCTGCTGCTGCAAATGCTGCTGCGCACTCCCGCCTCGCGCCGAGACGGCGCGCAGCAGCTGCTGCTGCTGCTGCTGCTGCGGCTGTTGGTGCTGGTGCCGGTGCCGTCAACTGCTCCCACTGCCAGCGACGCCGCGCAAGTGAAGCAGACCTATCTCCCGCCGCAGGCCGATCCCGCCGTGGCCGCGGCTGAACGTACGTCTTGAGATCAAATGTGATGATGATTCTCCCCCCAGTACAATTCGATCGATCCTCTGCTGCGAAAAACTGATGCGCGCAGGCTCGGTGACCCGTGTGGGTGCATTTGAGAATCCTCAGAGGCGGCCATCGGGTTTGTGGTGGCGAGACGTGCGATCGAACTCCTCACACGCTGAAACCTCACTCGCTGATTCCTCACACGCTGAATCCTCACACGCTGTGGCTCCCCTCCTTCGCGGAGGGTTCCACAGCAGTGAATCGCACTTTGCCTGATTGCGTCCTCTCCGCAGCGCTTGAGGCGCCTCAAACGTCCAAAGCCTCTCGCGCCGGAGGGAGGCAATCCAAAGCTCTAATCATTTCTCTCGCCCGTCGTTTAGGGCCAATGCCGCCGCACGCCATGACGCCATGATCCCCTGATCCCATCCCATGATGCCATGATCCCATCCCATGATACCATGATCCCATCCCATGATGCCATGCTCCCATCCCATGATGCCATGCTCCCATCCCATGATGCCATGCTCCCATCCCATGATGCCATGCTCCCATCCCATGATGCCATGCTCCCATCCCATGATGCCATGCTCCTATCCCATGATGCCATGCTCCCATCCCATGATGCCATGCTCCCATCCCATGATGCCATGATCCCATCCCATGATGCCATGATCCCATCCCATGATGCCATGCTCCCATCCCATGATGTCATGATGCCACGCTATAATGCCATGATTCCATGCCATGATTTCATGCCATGATGCCATGCCATGATGCCATGCCACGAAGCCATGACATGAGCCATGATGCAGGCGGGGCGTTCGTTCACAAAACCATTGCAGCATCGCCAGCCATTCCCTCCCGCCCCTCATTCCGTTCCGACGCCCTCTCCCTCAAATGGCCGTTCCTTCTCCTTCCCCATCTTTCACCTTGCCCCATCTTTCTATTGACCATCACCTCTGCAATCAATGCTGCCACCACTACTGCCATCACCGCTGCTGCCCGACTCACGCACTCCCATCCATGCCCACCCATTCCCACTCATGCCCATCCATGCCCATCCATGCCCACCCATTCCCACTCATGCCCATCAACGCCCACCCATTCCCACCCACACCCATCCATTCCCACCCATGCCCATCCACGCCCATCCATGCCCATCCGTGCCCATCCGTTCTCATCCACGGCCATCCACGCCCATCCATGCCCATCCATACCCATCCATGCCCATCCATACCCATCCATGCCCATCCATGCCCATCCATGCCCATCCATGCCCATCCATACCCATCCATACCCATCCATGCCCATCCATACCCATCCATACCCATCCATGCCCATCCATACCCATCCATACCCATCCATGCCCATCCATGCCCATCCGTGCCCATCCACGCCCATCCACGCCCCTCGTCTCTCCATGCCAGGGGAGGCCCTCCTGGCGTTCGCGAGAGCGTTGGGAAACCACCCCGTGTTCTTCAAGAACGGGGCATGGTCCAACGCCACCCTGCCGTGCCAGGATGTCTGGCAACTTATTGGGTGTGATGCATCTGGCCGAGTGATCAGCATGTACGTACGATTCCCCTCATCCCTTCTCAGTTCGTCTAGAACCTCCCGCTCTCGGTTCCGGTGATCCCATCCTTCAATACCACCACACCATCACGCCATCACGCTGTGGCCTCCCTGTGCAGTGACGTCAACAACCCTGCACTGGGCACTTTGAATCCAGCATACGCAAGTGGTGGAAGCTCGCATGGGGGCCTCAAGGGGCAGATTCCGTGGGGCCAGATGTCGGCTCTGCAGCAGCTAGATTACATCAACGTCGAGTACAACGAGCTCACTGGCCCCGTGCTGCCTCCCGCCATTTCCGGCTTCTCCAATCTCAAGGAAATGTGAGGCCTCTCTCGCTCGGGTGCACTCGGCCTTTCAAAACCTGGCTTAAATTTCAGGCACCTGAGAGAAGTTTTTTTCGAGGTGGCTAAATATCACCGCAAAGCAGAGCAGAGGAACTCTGTTTAGGCAGCCTTACAGAAATTAAGTGCTGCCAGCAGTGTGGGCAGTCCTTTCTTCCTAGTCCTTGTCGCTCCTTTGAGACGTCGCAATAGCCAGCAGTGCGGTGCTATACAATCCATGTCGCTCCTTTTCTGACGCAATGGTTTCTCAGGTCCGATTTGTGGCTAGCTGGGCCGAGCGGGTTCGATAAGCTGATGTGGGCTCACAGTTTGGCATTAAAATGTCCACCCGACCCTGGGGTTGTCGACCCAGTCCTGGCTTGTCCAGGCGGCTAGGGGCTGTTTTTTCATGAGCCTGCTTGCAAAAGAGGCGTGTTGAAGGGCTGAGGTAGACATGAGCACTTTTCCAAACCTCAAACAGGTTTGGGTCGAACATGTTCGTTTCAAACATGTTCGAACCTTCTTTTTTCGAATTACGTTTCGCCCGAACATGTTCGGTGTTCAACAAGTTTATGGGGACAATTCCCGAACACCAAACATGTTCGGGAACTGTCCCCGCTTTTCCGAACATTAGATGTTCGGAAAAAACCAGCGCGACATTTGTCGCGCTGGTTGGATGCAAGTCCTACGGAGACCATAGATCGAGGTCATTTCGACCTCGATATACCTTTTTAGGTTAAGTTCACAGCAGTAAGGAGTGGTAGGCTCATTTCCAGGCCATTTCCTCCCAACTTAACGGTTACTTTAGGTAAATTAGGTTAATTAGTCGTTAGTTTGTCGTTTTTCCCACTCGCCCTGCCCCCGTGTTCCCCACCCCCTAAACATGTATGGGCAGGTGTTGTTGTACTTAAAGTCATGAAACAGGAGTGGTGAAATCTGTTAACTCAGAGAATCTGCTAAGTCCTTATTTTCGAACACCAAACATGTTCGGAATTGGCCGAACATGTAGAGGTTCGGCGAACATTAAACATGTTCGCCCACACTAACCAAACACCAAACATGCAAACTGTGAAAATAATGTTCGGGCGAACCGAACATGTTCGGTTCGCCCAATTATACTGTTCGGGGACGTTCGGGCAAACACGTTTGGTGTTCGCCCGTTGCTCATGTCTACTGAGGTAGACTTTGTAATGACGCGCTGTGCCATGCTGTGAGCTGTGCTGTGATGTGGTGTGCTACGACGTGGCATGTGGTGACACTCTGCTGCACGTCACATGGCTGGCAGATTGTTCCGGGGCAACCTTTTCACGGGCCCTATGGATGATGCTGTCTCCGCCTTGAAGTCGCTCGAGAAGCTGTGCGTCCACTTCACCACGCCCTACACTGCACGCCCTACCCCACCTGCCCTCACTCCACTACCTGCCCCACCTGCCCTCACTCCACTACCTGCCCCACCCTCACTGCACGCACTACTTTACCTTCCGTGCTTGCCCTCACTCCTGCCCTACCCTTCCTGCCCTCACTCCCGCCCTACCCCACCTGCCCTCACTCCCGCCCTAGCCCACCTGCCCTCACTCCCGCCCTACCCCACCTGCCCTCACTCCCGCCCTACCCCACCTGCCCTCACTCCCGCCCTACCCCACCTGCCCTCACTCCCGCCCTACCCCACCTGCCCTCACTCCCGCCCTACCTCACCTGCCCTCACTCCCGCCCTACCTCACCTGCCCTCACTCCCGCCCTACCCCACCTGCTCTCACTCCACGCCTTACCCCACCTGCCCTAGCTCCACGCCTTACCCTGCCTGCCCTCACCCTCACTTCACGCCCTACTCTACCTTCCCTGCCTGCACTTGCTTACATCACATCAACATGTCCCCCTTGCACTTCCTCCTTGCATTTCACTTTTACTCGAGCCTCGCATCGCATCACCTCACCACTGCCTATAATCCTAAGTTGGAAATAGGGTTGAGCAAAGGGCGAACGCGAACATGTTCGCGTTCGCCCTCGCACGAACATGGCCGTTAGGCGAACCGAACACTGTTCGGTTCGCCGAACGACTTCCCCAAAAAAGGGCGTTAGGCGTTCGCCTGTGAAGGCGTGTTTGGGCGAACCTCGAACACGTTCGTGTTCGACACGGGGCGTTCTGCAGCAGCGCCACGAACACGAACGTGTTCGGGCGAACAATTTTAGCTGAAAAACAAAACCTGTTCGGTTCGCCTCGAAGGTGTTCGTTTCTTTGCTCATCCCTAGTTGGAAAAGAACACAAGTTTGAAATTGCGCATTGAGTTTATACGCATCTAGTACGCTGCTTTTTTTCTTGGATACTGCTTTAGTCGTTTTTTCCTTAGATACTCGGCGTTCGATTTCTTCCCATCTTTTTTCACCCGCGACGATGACGTCCACTACTACATCAGCTCCCGTTTCCATCTCTTGTCCTAGCATCTAACCTGCCCGGGTTATTTTTTACCTGCCCGGGTCAGTGAATTCTGTGCGTACCGGACCCCCTCCAGGCCAGCGAATTGTGTATAGGTGGTAGCGTATAGACGCTAGCGGACTAAATGTGAAACGCGTTTTTTCCAACATAGCTATAATCAACGATTTGCCTTTAACCCCCACTCTGCTCATTCCTCATTTACTCTGAACCCTTCTCACTACCCCTCCTCCCGTTCCGGTACTCCCTCATCACAAAAATCAAGTAGCTGGAAACCTCTCATGATGTGTATTTGATGTGTTTTTGCAGGTGCTTTGAAGATGTAGGGGTCGGTACTTTTTTCGAAGAAAGTATCGAACTTTTTCCAGATGTTGTGTCAGATGCTTTGTAGATGGTAGCAATGTTTTATATCAGTTTTGAAATGCTTCGGCGGAAGTTCTCCTGGAGTTTTGGAAAACTCGTTTAGAGCACATTCTGCAGCTTTATGTGATTCTTTTGTGGACAAGGATTAAGGTTTTTTGAAACACTTTTATGTGTCAAGCATAAATTCGGAAAATGGTTATGCATGATTTCAGAAAACACACTTGGGGTTTGGATAACATTTCATAGTAGTTCATTGCAGGCTGCACAGCACTTTCCATAAATTCCCCCTTAGATGGCAGGCGCGTACGTGCAAATCATAACATTACTTCAAAAAGGGTACTAAGACATTTGTAGCCTACTAATTTTTCTGGTTCCTACCTACTCTACTAGTAGTCCTTCCCTGGTTAATGACACCTGCGCTACTACTACCCGCTATCAACCCTAGGTCCCAACTCCACCCAGCATATCCGCACCGCTCGGCCCCATACGGCTTCTCCTCTGCTCCTTCCCACCCAGCCACTCCTTAATGACTCAACCCCCCTGCTGCTACTAAAATGGCAACCCCTTTCTGCTCATCTACTGCTCCCCCCACCGCCATTGCTCCCTCTAATGCTGCTCTCACACTGCTCCCCCCAATGTTGCTCCGTGTTTCTTTGTTTCCTCCCTGCTGTGCTACTCCCTGCTGCTCCCTCCCAGCTGTTCTACTCCCTGTTCCTTGTTGTTACTCCTCAGGACCCCCACCTCCCTTGCTGTTACTTCTCTGCTCCCTCCCTGCTGTGCTATTACTCTTGTGCCCCGCCCCCTTGGTGTCACTCCTCTGCTACTCCCCCATGTTGTTACTGCTTTCCGCCCTTGAACGGCTGTTACTCCAATGGTCCTCCATGCATTTGCAGCTCCTCACCTGCTCTCTCATTTGCTGTTAATCCTCTGCCTCCCTGCTGATTCCTCCCTGCTGCTTCCTCCCTGCTGCTTCCTCCCTTCTGCATCCTCCCTGCTGCTCCCTCCCTGCTGCTCCCTCCCTGTTGCTTCCTCCCTGCTGCTTCCTCCATGCTGCTCCCTCCCTGTTGCTTCCTCCCTGCTGCTTCCTCCCTGCTGCTCCCTCCCTGATGCAACCTCCCTTCTGCTCCCTCCCTGCTGCTCCCTCCCTGTTGCTTCCTCCCTGCTGCTTCCTCCACGCTGCTCCCTCCCTGTTGCTTCCTCCCTGCTGCTTCCTCCCTGCTGCTCCCTCCCTGATGCAACCTCCCTTCTGCTCCCTCCCTGCTGCTCCCTCCCTGATGCTTCCTCCCTGCTGCTCCCTCCCTGCTGCTTCCTCCCTGCTGCTCCCTCCCTGATGCAACCTCCCTTCTGCTCCCTCCCTGCTGCTCCCTCCCTGCTGCTTCCTCCCTGCTGCTCCCTCCCTGATGCTTCCTCCCTGCTGCTCCCTCCCTGCTGCTTCCTCCCTGCTGCTCCCTCCCTGATGCAACCTCCCTTCTGCTCCCTCCCTGCTGCTCCCTCCCTGCTGCTTCCTCCCTGCTGCTCCCTCCCTGTTGCTTCCTCCCTGCTGCTCCCTCCCTGTTGCTCCCTCCCTGCTGCTCCCTCCCTGATGCAACCTCCCTTCTGCTCCCTCCCTGCTGCTCCCTCCCTGATGCTTCCTCCCTGCTGCTCCCTCCCTGTTGCTTCCTCCCTTCTGCTCCCTCCCTTCTGCTCCCTCCCTGCTGCTTCCTCCCTGCTGCTCCCTCCCTGCTGCTCCCTCCCTGTTGCTTCCTCCCTTCTGCTCCCTCCCTTCTGCTCCCTCCCTGCTGCTTCCTCCCTGCTGCTTCCTCCCTGCTGCTCCCTCCCTGATGCAACCTCCCTTCTGCTCCCTCCCTGCTGCTCCCTCCCTGATGCTTCCTCCCTGCTGCTCCCTCCCTGCTGCTTCCTCCCTTCTGCTCCCTCCCTGCTGCTCCCTCCCTGCTGCTTCCTCCCTGCTGCTCCCTCCCTGCTGCTTCCTCCCTGCTGCTCCCTCCCTGTTGCTCCCTCCCTGCTGCTCCCTCCCTGCTGCTTCCTCCCTGCTGCTTCCTCCCTGCTGCTCCCTCCCTGCTGCTCCCTCCCTGTTGCTTCCTCCCTTCTGCTTCCTCCCTGCTGCTCCCTCCCTGTTGCATCCGCCCTGCTGCTTCCTCCCTGCTGCTCCCTCCCTGATGCAACCTCCCTTCTGCTCCCTCCCTGCTGCTCCCTCCCTGATGCTTCCTCCCTGCTGCTCCCTCCCTGCTGCTTCCTCCCTGCTGCTCCCTCCCTGATGCAACCTCCCTTCTGCTCCCTCCCTGCTGCTCCCTCCCTGCTGCTTCCTCCCTGCTGCTCCCTCCCTGATGCAACCTCCCTTCTGCTCCCTCCCTGATGCAACCTCCCTTCTGCTCCCTCCATGCTGCTCCCTCCCTGCTTCTTCCTCCCTGCTGTTCCCTCCATGCTGCTCCCTCCCTGCTTCTTCCTCCCTGCTGCTCCCTCCCTGCTGCTTCCTCCCTGCTGCTCCCTCCTTGCTGCTCCCTCCCTGCTGCTTCCTCCCTGCTGCTTCCTCCCTGCTGCTTCCTCCATGCTGCTCCCTCCCTGTTGCTTCCTCCCTGCTGCTTCCTCCCTGCTGCTCCCTCCCTGATGCAACCTCCTGCTGCTTCCTCCCTGCTGCTCCCTCCTTGCTGCTTCCTCCCTGCTGCTTCCTCCCTGCTGCTTCCTCCCTGCTGCTTCCTCCATGCTGCTCCCTCCCTGTTGCTTCCTCCCTGCTGCTTCCTCCCTGCTGCTCCCTCCCTGCTGCAACCTCCCTTCTGCTTCCTCCCTGCTGCTCCCTCCCTGCTGCTCGCTCCCTGCTGCTTCCTCCCTGCTGCTCCTCCCCCTTTTCTCTCTAGATCGGTCCTGCCGCCACCCTCTCTGCCGGATTGCGGGGCTGTGGTCTGGGCCTATACTCCTCGAACCCTGACTCATGGACGAACAAGCCGAAATTTCCCCACCTGAACCCCTTCATCCGTGCGTTGTAGACAGGATTGACCTGGCTAAAATGATCCCTCACCACCCGTCGAACCACGTCGCGGATGCTTGTCACCCACTTCGTGTTCTTTCGGTGGGAGTTGGTGAGGTTCATCGTTGACTTCTTAATCTTCGACAGACCGTAGTCAATCTGCATTGTTGGGATTAGGAACCATGGGCGCAGAGAATTAACAGTAAATCACAGGGGAGTGGGCGCAGCTCATTGAGGGGAGGGGAAAACAGGGGAGTGGGCGTAGCTCATTGAGGGAAGGGGAAAACAGGGGAGTGGGCGCAGCTCATTGAGGGAAGGGGAAAACAGGGGAGTGGGCGCAGCTCATTGAGGGAAGGGGAAAACAGGGGAGTGGGCGCAGCTCATTGAGGGGAGGGGAAAACAGGGGGTCACAATAACAAACCACTCACCACCATGATAGTCCAGGCGATGTGATACGCCTTCAAGCACAAGTCGTCTCCCACGCTGAATTCTCCGAAAGCATCCATAGCTGCGTTGAAGAAGATGTCATTGCCAAACGGGAGGCCACCATCCTCAGCATTCCCCCATGTTCTCAGGGGGTCGTCCACGCCTGCGACACGCTCGAACAAGGATGGTAAAGAGAGTGGTTGGACGGGTGGAACTCGAGTATTAAGATGGACTATGTGAGCCAACGCCAAGTTGAGAAGAGAGTGAGATGGGGTGGTGAAAGATTGGATGGGGTGATTGTGGAGGAGAGGGGGGGAGGGGGGGGAAGAGTTGCGGTTCACTCACTCGGGCAATGAGTTTTCCAGAGATCCTCCTTCACTTTCACATCGACGTGAATTTCCGCCGCGCGCAGCCCGCACATAGCAACCCCTAAGCCCTCAAGTACGGTTCTTTTTATGTAAAAACCGCGCTCATTCTTCCATTGAGTCCATACGCGCTTGAACGAATCACGCCGTGTTTTATCCCCCATGGCCTCTTTCAGCAAAATGAAGGACACGATGTAATTTTCGGAGATGACCTCGTGCAGAACCCGCATACGCTTCTCAAGGGATGGGTAGAATGTAATGACACGATCTTCAGCTTCCATGCACATCCGGTTCCGGGAATCTTCCATGTAGAACTGGTCAAGAGTGATGGGAAACCAGAGAATTGAGTGCAAGGCATGCAGTCAAGGGAAAACAGAGAATGTGAGGGGTGAAAAGTATTGCAGTGATGGGAAACCAGAGAATGTATGTGGTGCAAGGATGCAGTGACGGGAAACCAGAAACTGTGTGCGGTGCAAGGGAGGGATGCAGCGACGGGAAACCAGAAACTGTGTGCGGTGCAAGGGAGGGATGCAGCGACGGGAAACCAGAAAATGTGTGCGGTGCAAGGGAGGGATGCAGCGACGGGAAACCAGAAAATGTGTGCGGTGCAAGGGAGGGATGCAGCGACGGGAAACCAGAAAATGTGTGCGGTGCAAGGGAGGGATGCAGCGACGGGAAACCAGAAACTGTGTGCGGTGCAAGGGAGGGATGCAGCGACGGGAAACCAGAAAATGTGTGCGGTGCAAGGGAGGGATGCAGCGACGGGAAACCAGAAACTGTGTGCGGTGCAAGGGAGGGATGCAGCGACGGGAAACCAGAAACTGTGTGCGGTGCAAGGGAGGGATGCAGCGACGGGAAACCAGAAACTGTGTGCGGTGCAAGGGAGGGATGCAGCGACGGGAAACCAGAAAATGTGTGCGGTGCAAGGGAGGGATGCAGCGACGGGAAACCAGAAACTGGGTGCGGTGCAAGGGAGGGATGCAGCGACGGGAAACCAGAAACTGGGTGCGGTGCAAGGGAGGGATGCAGCGACGGGAAACCAGAAACTGGGTGCGGTGCAAGGGAGGGATGCAGCGACGGGAAACCAGAAAATGGGTGCGGTGCAAGGGAGGGATGCAGGGACGGGAAACCAGAAAATGGGTTCGGTGCAAGGGAGGGATGCAGGGACGGGAAACCAGAAAATGTGTGCGGTGCAAGGGAGGGATGCAGGGACGTGAAACCAGAAAATGTGTGCGGTGCAAGGGAGGGATGCAGCGACGGGAAACCAGAAACTGGGTGCGGTGCAAGGGAGGGATGCAGCGACGGGAAACCAGAAACTGGGTGCGGTGCAAGGGAGGGATGCAGCGACCGGAAACCAGAAAATGGGTGCGGTGCAAGGGAGGGATGCAGCGACGGGAAACCAGAAAATGGGTGCGGTGCAAGGGAGGGATGCAGGGACGGGAAACCAGAAAATGTGTGCGGTGCAAGGGAGGGATGCAGCGACGGGAAACCAGAAACTGTGTGCGGTGCAAGGGAGGGATGCAGCGACGGGAAACCAGAAAATGTGTGCGGTGCAAGGGAGGCATGCAGCGACGGGAAACCAGAAAATGTGTGCGGTGCAAGGGAGGCATGCAGCGACGGGAAACCAGAAAATGTGTGCGGTGCAAGGGAGGGATGCAGTGACGGGAAACCCGAAAATGTGTGCGATGCAAGGGTGGGATGCAGTGACGGGAAACCGGAGACGGTGCAAGGCATGCAGTCAAGGGAAACTAGTAACTAACCCTCAGATTGGTGGCATTCGGCATGCCGTGCCTCCGTGCAATGGGAACGTCTTGTACAGCGCTCTCCGCCACAACGGGAGGCGCATCGGGCTGCGATGGCAGCTCACTGGAGATCGAGGTAAGAGGAGGTATTTGCGTGCCGTTGCCGCCCCCGTTTCCTGAAAGACCGCGACCCGCCTTTAGCTCTGCAATCTGCCGATTGGCATCCTGCAAAGCTTTAAAAAGTTGTTGCATGGAAGCATCAGGTGAACTGTCTAAGGGACTTAGGGGCACACCGGTCGCGCTGTCGGGCTTGGAACTGTATCTCGCCGGATCTGACGGGCCTGCAGTCGCAGGGTCTGAAGTTCCAGCCTTCTCTTCGTCCATCCCCCAAGCACCAAACCCACCAGCATCACGATCTTTCACCCATTGCCCCCCTGCACTTGCCGGATCATCACCACCACTTGCCTCACGAGTAATGTTGTGCTGAAGATCAACCTCCGCTTCCACGCTACGATCAGGAAACCGTGATGCACTCCTTCCCAGTCCAGACCCAGAGGCGAGGGCAGTATATGGATCGTTCGATGCTGCCAATTTCCCCCTACGAATGTTCTCCCTACGGTTCTCCTGACCTGCATCTTCAGAGCTCCCCAAGGTCCGCATCTCATGGTAGAATCCGAGGTTCCTTCCTACGGGAGGACGCTCCTTACCCACCCGCGTAGGCACCCCATGAGTAGCGTGCTTCCCTTGAGCACGCGAGCGATGTTTCTGCCTCTTTCGCCCTTTGCTCGCTTTATTTCCGTGCGCATGCCCACGCTTTCCGCCCGAGCGGCCTCTACCTGCCCGTGCCCTCCGCCCTCTCATATCTTCGTCATCACTCTCGGACACCGATTTATCGTCCTCACTTTCTTCATCCTCGTCGTACCTCTCCTCACTCCCGGAGGAGCTCCCCGATTCCTCATCCGAGCTGTCCTCGCCTTCGGAAGATTCCTCCTTGACAGGGGCTTTCTTTCCAGCCCTGCGTCGCCGTGACTTCACTCTCCCTGACACCCCCCTCTGATCCTCCATCTCCCCGCCACGGCTCTCTCTCCCACTCCCCCCATGCCCACGAACATTCTCTGCACCATCCGGTCGAGCACCTGCTGGAGTAGAGGGAGAAGATGCATCATGATTCACATCACGCTCTCCCTCACGCTCGCCCTCACGCTCGCCCTCACGCTCTCCCTCACGCTCTCCCTCACGCTCTCCCTCACGCTCTCGCTCACGCTCTCCCTCACGCTCTTCCTCACGCTCTTCCTCACGCTCTTCCTCACGCCTCCCCTCACGCCTCCCCTCACGCTTGCCCTCACGCCTGCCCTCACGCCTGCCCTCACGCTCTCCCCCACGCTCATCCTCACGCTTATGCCCTTTCACTGGCAGTGGCTCCTCGTAGTCTACGTCTTCTATCTGTCCAGTTGCCCCATCCGCGTCTTGTTTTCCTTTTTTCTTTTTCTTGGAACCGACGGTACCTACAACACGCATCAAGTAAGGACGAAATGCTCACACGATATGAGGGCAGCACCTCTATGTATTGGGTGCGAACACAAGCAGGCTTTTACCGAGCAACTTACAAACATGCAGAGAAGAAAAAAAGATATAAAACCTGGATGCGTACCTTTCCTCCCTGTATCAGCTTTGAATTGGTCCAACTGCTTCAGCTTAGGAGCGTGCCTCCGCCCGCTTGAACCGCCGCGACTAAGTTTGCCGGCGTATGGCACGTCCCCAGAATGCTCACTATCCGATGAATGTTCCCCTCCCGACACCTCGGCATCGCGCGCAGTAGACTTGTTCTTCCGACGATACCTCACAACTAGCTGAGAGGTATTAAGAGGTGTCATCTTGTCATGCAGCCTCTGTTCCGCATCGGTTTTGGCGTCGCCCAAGGTTTGTAAAGCTCCAGCTGCATCGATGAGGTCACAAGCATTGGCCTGGTGATTGAGACCGCCGTTGTCCGCCATGTTTCTAGCAATGCAGCTAAACCTGCCCGATTTACGTTATATAGCTGAGGAGTGCATACCTAAGGATTATAAGCTCCTCCAATAGGTATTCGAGCAGCTAGGAAAAGAATCGCGCACGCTGGACGTGCATGCGAGCAATGCAGCGCGCAATAGCAGTACGTGCCCGCGAATCGCTCCAACGGAAGTCGTGCAACTAAAACAGCAGCGCGCCATCGCAGGCCGCGCCGTTCGAGACCATCCCATGCGCGCCATATCAGGACGTGCCTACTACGAGAACAGGCGTTTCGAAATGGCTAAACGTGCCTAAAACTGGCAGAAATGCACATTTGCGCCAGGTGGTGGAGGTACCGTGACATTGACTAACAGGTAGAAGGAGCTGGACGTGCCTACCTACCGTTGGAAGGTATCGTGAGGAGACCAGCGAATGGTACCAGCAAGACGCCCTCTGTGCTTCGAACGCGGAGGGTAACGTGGTCTCAACTAACGCTTCGAGACTAGGCATCAAAGATGCATGCTCCTGTAACGAAATGCCCAATGAGGCACCTCGCGATGGGGTTTGGTGCTGGGATATGGGAAACACAGAGCAACAGTTCAGCTGCCCTTGAAGTTGCAAGGAACGCGCAGGCAGTATATCAGTGTTTACGAACCTAGGTTCTAGCACCTACTTACGAGATAAAGTCTGTTGGCCAGCCGTGCTATGTCTGCCATAAGCTCAGGATACTAAGTAATTTCGAGCAAGGGAACGGGAATCAAACATCCCTGCCGCAAAACAAAGGGAAACAAAAAATCGAATGTGACAACAGCAAATCGGCACCGCGTTTTCCATCAACATTGCAGGTCGGGAACCGTGATCTGTAAAAGCCATCGCGGTTCGAGAATCTCTCCTGGTTGTGTTGAAACGTCATTTTGGCGCATCAATCCGTTTAGACGTGCAGTCACGGGTGTGTTGATAGAATAGTTAAAAGTTGAAATACTGTTATACTGTTATACTGTTATCCTTACACATTGAGGTGATTCTGAGCAGCAATTGTCCTCATACAGTGTGGTCTGTGTGCAGCCTTGTCGGCCCTTACATCAATAAGTTCATGCATCCGCAGTTCCAAATTTTAATCCAGGACCGGACAATCTTCCCATAACAGCAGCGACTTCACCAAGCACAAATCCTAGCAGCGTATATCAAACACATTGTGTTGTGTGTAACTGTTGAGTGAAAGCACAGTTCACAACACATCAGCAACTGCCATAAAGTGCATGGAGTTTTCAGCCATAGGGAGAGAGGGAAGCTGCAGAGTCTCCTCTCCTCATTACTGTGTTACGGTATTGGGCCGATCCAGAGCACCCACACTATCACGTTGAGTTGTATGTGATATTCAACTGCACCATGCTAAGTAGCTGTTCCAACCCCTCATTCAGCTCATCATCAGCCTACTCATCGTGTTTAGTATGACCCCAACCTGCCATTCCATGGGCATTGACACCAAGGTTGAGTTGGTAAGAGCTTACAAAATGGAGCAACTCAAGTACCGCCTGGCTATGCAATTCTACAACAAACATCAATCAATACAACGATCATCAGTAGCACATTCATGTCACTAACCAACAGCGACCAGGCTAAGGAGCATCAATCAGCCTGTATAGTGGCACAAGCACCTTCATAGACACAGGACCACTTTGCCAAATCATGACGATATTGGCGCCTCCACTGTCTTGGCGTCCCAGCCAAGTTACACGCATTCATCCTGCCGAACCTGCTCTCGACACCGCAGTCGTTCTCGTTGTCTTGCTGACGCACCTGCAAAGCACACTCGGAGTGGATGGTACTTGTATTATGCACAATCATGCACAGCCTACTCCACCTCCCCTCTATCATCTACACAACCGCGCACCCCATGCACGGCCATGCGCAGCCCACTCCTCCCCCTCCCTGCTGTTCAGGGCATCACCCGCCTGGCCATGCGCAGCCCACTCCTCCCCCTCCCTGCTGTTCAGGGCATCACCCGCCTGGCCATGTGCAGCCCACTCCTCCCCCTCCCTGCTGTTCAGGGCATCACCCGCCTGGCCATGCGCAGCCCACTCCTCCCCCTCCCTGCTGTTCAGGGCATCACCCGCCTGGCCATGTGCAGCCCACTCCTCCCCCTCCGCAACACGTCAGCGCTTCACTCGCCTGTCCATGCACAACCTACTCTCCCACTCCCTTACCCATCCGCGCATCCCACGCCTATCCATGCACAACCTACTCTCCCACTCCCTTACCCATCCTCGCATCCCATGCCTGCCGTCTCTCCCACTCCCTTACCCATCCGCGCATCCCACGCCTGTCCATGCACAACCTACTCTCCCACTCCCTTACCCATCCGCGCATCCCACGCCTATCCATGCACAACCTACTCTCCCACTCCCTTACCCATCCGCGCATCCCACGCCTGCCGTCTCTCCCACTCCCTTACCCATCCGCGCATCCCACGCCTGCCGCTGCGCGGCCTATATCACACATGATTCCTCCACTCATCCGGCTATCCCATGCGCGTACCTCGATGACGTTTAACTGGATCGCGTCAGCCCACGATTTTGCTTCTGTCTCCGTGACCCATGCGTAGCGCTTCATGACGTTTGTCATCAAACATCTGCGCATTGGGATGAATTTGTAGTTAGGATCAGACCGCAAGATACAAGTTTAATAAGCTTCACGAGTAACTCACTTTCTTAATGGACCATCGATGTCGTCGTGACTGCCATATGAGTCCGCATGCCACAATACACAGTTGATCGGGATCAGAGATCCTGGAGCATGGTTGATTTCGATGACTACAAGGCTCCAATGCGCACTGCATTATCGAGTCATTCAAAGATCATTAGCTTGCAGCAACCTTGATCGTATGAATCATGCAAAGAATTGCCCGAGCACATACTCCTTGTTAATCGGAACAAGCACGTGTTTGAACGATAAGATGTCGAGCCCATATGCCAGCCTAGTGATTCTCTTAGATTCCGGCCGCGCGACGAGGGTCCAGAAATACGGCGATGTGCAAAGCCACTCAGCATTTTCGAGTCCGTTCTCATAGTGTAACATCCTGCGGGAACGCCATGGAAATGTGGAAACTCGCGGTAGCTTGTGAGTAAGTTTGAACAAGGTGCCGCCATGTCTCAAACTTTTGCGTTTTAAACAACTCACGATGATAGCCACTCGATAACCGTGCCACTGATCCACTGCTCGTTTCCCAACGTGCGGTAATCTGAGGGGTAGATTTCAAGCCACCCGCCCCCAAACGGGGAGGGCATGCTCATCTGCTGGAAACTACATCGCGATAACTTGGGTATGTCCTCTTCCGCCATTCCTTAACCCAGCAAACTCTAGCGAGGAGTAGGATTCTGCGCTAGGCGAGTGTTGAAATTTCCTTGGCAAGCTTGTAAGCCGGAAAATCACCAGGGACATTCGTTACCGAGGCGAGAAGCACCCATCAGGCGTCCCATTTGTTCGCTTACTACACAACTTCCTATTGCACAGCTCGTGCAGTCTTCCATTCTCCAAACGGTGTCGTTGGGTAGCGGGGCTTTGGTTTTGTTGGGACTTGGTGAAAAGTGTTGCGCCGCCTGACATGAAACTCTGCTCCAATGACAGTGTAGCGGCTTGATGTTGGCTGACACGAATGACAACATTCACTGAAAATGAAAATGATGTCAGACAGTGAACCATTCTGTCAAAACGTAGAGGGCGTGAGATGTAATTAGTCACTGACGGATTATGGATCGAGATGTGTCACAAAATGGTAGTTTGTGGCAAGTAACCTATCCTCCGATTGGGCGAATGTTTGAGCCAATGTTGCAAACTGAAACGACACGCGCCAATTTGTTTCCTGAAACACGGCGCACCCAGGCATGGCAAATTGCATCCAGACTTTCCCAGCTTACGGGAAATGCTGTGACGCTTCGCGCTCTCGCCCAAGGGCGCAATTTGTCGCGCACCAATGAGCACCGACGTAAACACTTCAGGCAGTACGTAACGAACCGTCACCACCAATCGCTCACCAGTTACTGACACTGGATGGCCAATCGCCAATCTGACCCACCCAAAACACGGATCAAGCAACTCCGATCACCCATCCCTCTTGGCGCAGATATTTGTTCCTCGACCAAACCTAATATATCGCCACTACGATCAACGCTACCCTTGTGTGACTTGCTAAACAGCTCGAACTGGTGTTGCTGAACACCATTCACTCCTAGGTAAACTTGATTGCCAATGGAGGCCCAGGCATGCGAGTTCTGTAAAAAACGCGTGTACTGTTATCAATCAGTAGCAAGTCATCAAGCTAACCATGATGGTTGTAAGCGGGCCCAACGGGCCAAGGCTCAAGAGATTGCTAAACGAAAGAAACTGGGTCGTGCAGCGGAGCAGCATTATAGATTTGTCCCGCTAGCAAGAGCCACACTACCCGCGCCACATCGGTCGATTCCCTTAGCAGCAGGCCCGAATGCAGTCGAGCAGCATCCGCTGCAGGCAGAGCGAGTTCCCGATGCAGTCCCTACAAGTAGCACCACCCTGGTGGGGGAAGAGGCTCCTACGGAGGAGGTTCTTGATGTTAAAGCTGAAATCTGCATCTTGGCACGCTCTCACGACCTTACCAACGGGGCGATAAACGACACGATACAGTAAGTTAGACATCCGAAATTAGATCCAAAGCAACTCGACGATTGGAACAGCTACAGAGACCTGGAGAAGTACGAGCGGGACTTTGACCTTGGAGCGGAGAACGAGTGGATCGTCGAGGAGATCCCAGTGGATCACGAGATTGGGTTTCTCATATTCAAACGCCGAAACGCCATAACTGTGAGTGCCTCGCTGGTGCGCTGTCACGTATCACTCACGAGTTGGGTTGTGTGCTTAGTGATGACGATCAAATCTTCCGACCAATGGATGCATCAATCCTTCACCTCTGTTCTCCATCTTTTTTTCCTTATTGATAACCATCAGCTCCTCCAGGCCATGTTTAAGAAGATGTCAGCTGTCAAGGGATTCGCCATCATGCCTCAAGAGTGGAAGGTTGATGGGGTTCGCCGCTATAGTACCCCTGCAAACACGGACTGGATGCTGGAGGCTTGGGTAAGTTCGGTTCCAGCTCATGTCGTGTCGGACACGAGCGTCGAAACCTAGGATCCAATACATCTTTCCTTCACTTTCTCATTCACTGTGGCAGGATAGGGTGCGGAAGTATGGCATAGTTATAGCGCTCATTCTGTTCTCGGATCAGACCAATCTATCATACAACGGGCGCCAATCTGCCCGCCCATTTCTGCTGTCCTTTGGGAACATTCCGGAATGGGCTAGGTGGCTCGAAGGAGGCACTGCGCTTCTCGGGCTTCTGCCTCATATCCCAGCTGACCTCTCGCCGGAAGAAAAGGTTCGAGTGTTCCAGCGCGCTGCAGAGATCATGATTCAAGATTTAAAGGCGGCTTCACATCTGCAAGGGTGAGTCAACACTACTGTCACCCAAAGGTGACATCATTAGCCTTCTGGTTTTGGGTTAAACCCGCCACGCCGTCACGACTCCACCCCACTACCCTTCTGATATTCTTTCCCTGAGTCATACCCTCACCGCTCCCTTTTTTTACCCTCGTTCTCATCTGGTCCTCCTTTGCATGCGTGTCACAACGCTGTATTCAGTCATAACTTCCCTGCCACCAATGCTTCACCGGTTACCATTCCGATTCCACCTGTACATGCATGCTTTGCCACCGTCATGTTAATGCCTTCCCTGCTTGCTGTCCCCATCTTCCTAACCGTTCTTCATCTGCTTGCTTAGGGCCGCCCATGCTCACTCCGTTACTCACATCTGTGACGTGTTCTCCCATCATCCCCCCTCTACCTCCCTGTTTCCGCCTCCTTCCTTGGCGGCTGTGTAGGGGCGGGGTGATGGTGGAAGACAGTGCCGGTGTGCAATATAGAGCATTCACGCTTCTATATTCATGGGTGACAGATCACCCGGAGTCTTCTAAGGTCACATGTACGATGGCATGCAACTCGCTCCATCCGTGCTCGTTGTGCTTGGCTGATAAGGAGCACTTGGATGAGATGACTGTTGAGTTGACTCAAACGCCACCTGATAAGGAGTGCCTGGATGAGCAGGAAGACACCATCGTCCTCAGAACTGTCAAGAGTCAGCAGGATGCGTACAAGGAGATGAAATCAGCGGAAACCAAAAAGAAGTTGAAGGCGGTGAAGAAGAAGACCTCTACTCACTTTGTGAAGGTAAGCCTTGCCCAGCTTGTTCCGCATGCCTCGCCGATGTTCTCATCCGGTTTTTCTCCATGTCGACCATATACTGCACTGGCTAGTGTGCCTGAAAACCTACTCCAATCCGCAGCCAGTTGTTTGTGTTTATTACTCCGACCCGCCATAGTGACGTTGTGTCCTTGACCCACAACGCAGAGCCTTTTGTGGGACTGGGGATTCGCAAAGACTCTCTGGGGCAACACGTACCTTGCTGTGCCCCCGGACATCATGCACATCTGGGAGCAGGGCATATGGCTGCATGCCATGAAGTGCCTTGTGAAGAAGCTGACTCCGAAGGAACGGAAGATTCTTCTGGAGTGAGTTGTTCCGCGCCTTGCTGAACTGTTCCTCCCCTCCTTCGCTGCTTTCCGCGCCTTGCTGAACTGTTCCTCCCCTCCTTCCCTGCTTTCCGCGCCTTGCTGAACTGTTCCTCCCCTCCTTCCCTGCTTTCCGCGCCTTGCTGAACTGTTCCTCCCCTCCTTCGTTGCTTTCCGCGCCTTGCTGAACTGTTTGCAACTCTTGCCAATCTGCCCTGTGAATGTGCATGTAGAGAGAACACGAGCAAACGCTATGAACACTCGTACCATCTGCGCTTCTTCCCGTAGTCTAGCTTGTCAGATTTATATGACATAGCTACTGTAGGCTAGAGTGGGGTAGCACATATGGGGTACAGTTTTCTAGGGTTTGCTTCTTGTACCCAACTTTCACTTAGTCATTCTCATTCCTGTTTTTCTTGATTCACATGGTATCAGAGCGGGTTCCTACATGGGACCGTTCCTTCCTAAGGGCCCACCATAAGAATTTTTTTTTTTAGCTGCCCGCGCACATTGCGCCCTGCCCTAAAATTTTTTTTTTAGCGGCCCCTACGCTGCCTCTACGCGGCCCCTACGCCGCCTCCCACGCGCCCCCTATGCGGCCCCTGGCGGCGCCCTGACGAGGCCCCTGCCGGCGCCCTATCGCGGCCCCTGACGCGCCCCCCTGGTGGCGCCCTGACGCGGCCCCTGGCGGCGCCTGACGCGGCCCTGACGCGGCCTGACGCGGCCCCTGGCGGCGCCCTGACGCAGCCCCTGCCGCGGCCCTGACGCGGCCCTGCCGCGGCCCCTGACGCGGCCCTTACGCGGCCTGCCGCGGCCCCTGCCGCGGCCCTGAAGCGGCCCCTGACGCGGCCCTGACGCGGCCCTGACGCGGCCCTGCCGCGGCCCCTGGCGGCGCCCTGACGCGGCCCCTGACGCGGCGCCCTGACGCGGCCCCTGCCGCGGCCCTGACGCGGCCCTGCCGCGGCCCCTGACGCGGTCCTGACGCGGCCTGCTGCGGCCCCTGCCGCGG